GCGGATCCGCCGATCTCGTCGACGTGGATCTTCCTCTTGAGAGACAAGGGTACGTCCTTCGTGATTCTTCGCTTGCGCAACATGATCCGTCGCCGTAGTGTCTGTCCGCTGTTTTCATAGGACGATAGGCGCTATGGACCGTCTACTCGTGACATACACGCGGAATTTTTGGTTTGTTTCTCGTATGTTCCTTGCCCGTATGATGGAAAGGAGAATTTTCTTGTTTAATGTTTGAAAAATATTTGTTGCTTTCTTTGCATTAGGAAACTTCTGCATTCTTTTTTTAACGTGAAAAATCATATTTTTGGTGAAAATGTGAAATATGAAAAATAAAATATTTGTTGTTTGCTTTGTATTAGGAAACTTCTGTTTTTTTCTTTTTCAGCGAGAAAAATAATATTTTTGGTGAAAATGTGAAACACGGTAAAATATGAAAAATGTAGTGCCTATTATTTTGTTTCTTTCTTTACCGCAGATAATATCTTTGGCGAAAGTGTAAAATGTGTGAAATAAAATACCTGTTATTCCTTTGTACTTCTTGTTTCGTTTGTTTCTTAGGAGTGTGTTTGCATTTCTTTGAAGTTTTTCAAAGGCGTAAGGTTGTAGCTTCGTGTAGTTCGAACAAGTTGAAGGTTTTCTTATTCCTGCGCGCAGATGGTACCATGGATCCATCACGAGAATCGAGGCGGAAGCTGTCCTACGACTTCTGAGGGAAGGAAGTTACTTGGTGAGGAACAGCGAGTCAACCAAACAAGATTATTCTTTATCGTTGAAGTGAGTTGAACATTTGCATCTGACATTGATCTATCGTTACCTGCACAACAATTTCATAAAACACATTTACCACGTTTGGTATCGGCACTCGTTTAAATTAACTCAGAAATGTATAAATAATAAGCAAAACTCAGAAATATATAAACAATAAGCAAAGTACAATTTTTAAGCGACAAAAGAAGAATGTCTGAAATGAATTAAAAAAAAAAAAAGAATCTCTAATAAATTCTGAATTAAAACGCTTAAGCGAATATTGCATTTTTATTTACAGAAGTGCTCGAGGTTTCATGCACATGCGTATACAGAAGAACGAGGAGCTGAACGCGTACATTCTCGGCCAGTTCAGCAAGCCGTTCGACAGCATACCGGAAATGGTCCGTCACTTCAGCGTGAACCGTCTTCCGATACGTGGCGCGGAGCACATGTGTCTTCTGCATCCAGTCATAGCTCAGCTTTTGTAGCGCATCTATCGTAGCGCCGTTTAAGGTGCTTCTCACTTTTTGATATCCCCTTTACCCCTATGAAAATACTCAACAAACCTGAACAGTACTCCGAAAGTTGTTTATAAGAGGAAGAGGAAAAAGAGAGAGAAGAAGAAGAAGAAGAAGATGATGACGATGAAGAAACGAAGAGGTAAACGAGTTGTGCATGAGAAACGATATTCTACAAAAAGGAAAGAGACAAAAAATATCTAGAGTACGCGTAAGACACTTGGTACTTCCATTGAAAATTTCCATTCTAGTCTCGCCAGTTCCATTTTTGAGGCTGCTTAACGACGAATTTTTCCGAGCTTCCGATGTGAAACGATTAAGGAAAATAGAATAGGAGTGAAAGAGAGGTGGACGAAACTATTCACGGGAATAACACAGTACAAAGCTTGTAATCAGTGAAAAGTTTCTGTAGTCTTAGCAAGTGACCCTCGAGGTTAATCCTGTTCGTTTGCGTAATCCCTTGACAATTGCATCGACGCTTGCCCTGTGTCCAGTAGAGAAGCTTTATTAGCTGCGAAGATGAGAGAGAGGAGGATTAGTTGACCTAAGGTGTTAATTGCGACGCTTCGACGATGTATTTATTCTGACTGTAGCGACGAGCTCTCGTTGTTCCACGAACGGACACCTGTAAACGAAAGGAACGAAAAGCCTTCTTTTTTCTATCGAAACGAGCGTTCACAGGGATAATAAGAATGATATTCGATGAACGTTTCACAGAATCTGTCTCGTCTTCCCTTAAAAGAAGCATCGCGCAAATTTACCTCTCTGTTAGAGGGTGTGTGTACTCTATTTTCTCGCGAGATCGATCAAATTCCTTGCGCTCGATCGGAGGACGATCAAGTGGCTTTTACTAAAGGTTAGGGTTACATGACGCGGAAAGAAAGGAATTATCGAGGATTATAATACGAGAGAAACTAATGGATTTCTCAGATGGATCGTAAGAAGCGTGTCTAACGTTTAAATGTACAAGAGAGAGAGAGAGAGAGAGTCGACGAGTTGGAGAGCTTTTTTGGGTGGTCTAGAAAATGATGAACGATCGCGTGTCGTCGAGAGGACGACAAAGTTCGGTGAAGCACCGTAAGAGCTTTACAAAATGGTTTGTTCCTTGTGCTCGTGGCCTCGCGAGGCCGCGAGTTTCGTGTAAGAAACTATCGATGGGATCAGAGTCGCTGTACTACAAGCAGATAATCTAGCAAGGCGTGAGGTAATACGTACTTAGATTTAGATGTACACGTAGGTGGCTAGCGTTGGCCTCTACGGAAAGGAGCTGGAAGCCAAAGAAAAGTGAGCTAAGTCGTGTGTTTTTCGTTCGTGCGAGGAGGAGCAAGAGAGAGAGGAAAGAAAGGATGACGTTGAACGAGAAGTACACGTTGTGGGTTATTATTACAACCGCGATTCCAAATGCCAAAAAAAAAAAAATAAAAAAATAAAAAAAAACGTTTATCGCTAATCGTGTAATCATTTTAGTCAGGGTTTAGTTGCTCGTCGTCGTTGATAAGCGATTATTAGGCTGAGACCGGTAAAATTGATCGACAAGTTACTTTTACCTTGGTAATGCGAATCGAAATTTGCGGGAGAGAAAAAAGAGAGGGAGAGAGAGAATGGACGCGAAAAAATGATGATAATACAAATGGGTATAAAAATGCTTTTTCGTCCGGGCTGACCAGTTAATAAGAAGAAATCGAAACGAAGAGAGAAAAAAGAGAGAGAGAGAGAGAGAGAGAGAGCGATGGAAGTGAATAAAAAATGAAGAAAAGAAGATGAGGATCGAGGTCAGCCAATCCGAACCATCGATGGCTCGTCACTCGAGTCATCCGTCCGACAGTCTCTTATTTTTGGGAGATTTTTGTGAGAGGAGGCAACCGATACATATTTTTTCATGTGATATGAATTTGTTACAGAGATAGCCTAGTTTCACCTGTGATCTGTTACTTAGTTCCCTTTATCCGTGTCTGTTGGTCGCTGTGTGCAATATTCTCGTACGTACGATTATGATAACGATAATAATGCTAATAATAATAATATTAACAATAACGATAGCGTAATAATTAGTAAGAACGATTATCGGTAATTAACTGTTAAGTCGCTATTGTAATTGGGTAATCAGCAACGACGCGTAATCAGGCGCGACACGAGAGACGTCCGTGGTGTTACAATAATTATTTCGTGGTAAGGATTCGATTCGCGACGGTTGTGAGCGAAATTTTTCTGTTCTCGCCATCAAGTCCCGCGATGGCGCTTAAAAAACGAAAAAGGAAGAAAAGAAAACCAAAGAGAGATTTTACTTGTCATCGTTTTACGAGAACCTTAGAAACCCACGTCACACACATATAGCGAGTGCCAGAAAGTTAGTTGAATATTTTCGCATAATTTTCCTGGACGTTGTTTAGGCTGTCGATGGATATACATACGTTCCATTCCTCCTACTATTATATTTGCTGATTTCACGCGAAATCACGGCGCGAACGTGATACTAGTCGTAGCGTTAATTTATTTCCACGTTAAGTTTCGTTATTCCTAGGGCACTCGCTACCATTATTAAACTCCTTCGATTAGGTTCGAGCGTAAATACATAACACGTTGTACGTTAAGCTGCCAGTATTATTAACTGTAATCGATAATGCATATCCATGTTAACGTTTAAGACATTATATTGTCCCCCCTCGCCCCTTAACGAATGATTATGGGAAACGACGAGAGAGAAAAAAAAACACAAAAAAACAAGTATAATCTATCTGTACGTCTATTTATTTGGCATTCCATTTATTGCATTGTGTCGTTACAAGCCAATGATCTTACTGTCATGGTTCCGTGTATACCGTTCATTTTAATCGTAAGATCATAGCGTTGGTAATTCATGGTAATCTTATTATTATTAGGTATTTAGCGAACGTAGATTTAAAATAAAACAACAGCAACAAAAAAAAACAAAAACAAAAAAGAAACGCTATTCACGAAAAAGTGCGACAGAAAAGCAAACAGAGAACACACGATACAGACATTACATACACACACACACACACAGACACACACGTTAACACATACACGCATACAAGGCAGTCGTAAATTATGTGGTAGAATACTAAACTTGTAGATACTTCCTGTACCTTGAAATTTATATGAAGTAGCAATTAGCTCCGACGTATACACCACTATACGTATACATAAATATTCTATTATTATTATTACCAGAAACACTAGCGCATAGTCGTTTATAGGAGGTACAATCCAACAATGAGAATCGGAAGTAATCGAGAAATGGGAAAAACGGGAAACAGATCCACGATAATTATATTAAAAAAAAAAAGAAAAAGAAAAAAACACAATTCGAGCGCTGTGTACACTCTTTAATTGTAAACGGTTTTCGAACGGTGTGTGATGTGCAATAAACGAAGAGCGATCTAGTGTGGTCGCGCGAGATGCGTGGTGCGATACGGTATTTTTGTTTTAGCATGACAGACCACCGATGTTCCAAATCGACTTCACTAGATAGTCTTGTGTACTCCGAAACTCCCTCTTAATAATAAAACATTTAATAAAACAACGAGCGTTTAGTTTTCTTTAGCCTTCTGATTTCCTTCAACTAGCTCTGATTTCGTCACTCGAATTTCTATGACTTTCTTCTTATTGTTTTCTCTTCTAACTGAATTATCGGATGGAAGTAAAATTTTCGATCCATTTTATTGTGCAGCTTCTTACAATTGATCTTATTGTATACAAAAGTTACGGTTTTAGTCAGTCTTGTTCTTCCATTTCGTCCTCTTCGATGTATCGAGCAGGATGACTCGGAGGTTCCCCACGATCCAGCGGCATATCCACGGATTCTTGATCTTCTGCTCCAGAAGCTTCAGCCAGCTGCGAATTAGAAATGACAATTTAAATGTTAATTTAACCCTTTCGCTGAAATATCTCAGTTAATTTACCCCTTCCATTGCTTCTCTGCCTACGTCTCGAGAGTGTCTCCTTGCGCTTCGTTTCTCTATAAAAATTGTATTCAAAATTACTAAAAACTTCTCGAGGAAATAATAATTTTACACAAAGATATTTGGAAATTCTCAGAAATATTGAATTTATAACATTTTCAATAGATTAAAGGATTATATTGAAAATTATGAAAACTTTCTTGAGAAAATACTAATTTCACACAAAGATATTTTTCAAGTATCATAAATACTGAGTTTTTTGGAAGGAATTTAATTTCAAAAAAATTCCTCTTCATCTGCAACGTACTTGGACTAATGGAAGCTTGTCTATCGGACAATTTCTTGGTTGGCACAGTAGCAGAGGCCGGTCGATCCTGAAACGCAATTACAGCTATTAATTACGAAGCTGTAAAATACACGGAGAATGGGATAATTACCGAGGACGGTCGACCATCGTCGCCACGATCGTCACAGTATGCAGGCCCGCAGACATCGATTTTATCCGGCACCCGACGACTTCTGTACATCCTTCCATCCGTACCCTTTATCATCCCTTCCGTCAGTTGAATTATTTCCGGTCCCCACTCATTGATGAAATGGCCCATTCGCATCACTCTCTGCTGAGGAGTTGTTACCGTGTGACTTCCGCCGCAGTATCGATTGCACAGATGATCTCTAATAATTCAAAACAAATTGCCATTTAACGTGAACTACAAAACACGATTTAACAAAAACTCAAGGAATAACTAGTGACGCGCTCTTCGTAAAAATATTTTCCAAGCCTAAGATTTAATGCGATTTTAGAGAATTCTCTGACGTAAGACGACAACTTAGGTAACGTCTCGTTAAGATATTAAATATTGCATAAATCTGGAAGTAATACTTCCTTGACGTTAAGTAAATTTTCTTGAATAACAGACTTTTCGCCGCTTATTTACCTAGGAGTCTTTACAAGTGTATCAGCTCGCGCGCTCTTCTGTTTCCTTGCTTCTTCCTGCATGGCTGCCTCAAATTGAATCATATTCCTGCTATGAGGTAATCTTCTGTGTTGTTTCCTAACCTGATCCAATTCATAAGTTAGGTACGGCTTCATGCTGGCTGTGCAGGGTAACGCTTCCACTTTGTGCTTGTGACCACCGTCCATTCTCATCACTACGTCCTTGTCGCAAGAGATACACTGAACATCCCTGATAAGCCGCGAATAATTTTAGTTGTGTTACATGTCGTCTGTATGTGGCTATGATTAGGGCTATTACTTTTAACATCGTCACGACAGACAGTGAACGTATTAATAAGTAAACGTTGTTCAAATTATGTCGTGTTTGATGTCATTTCCATCAGAAAAATCTCAGCAATATGTTAAGAAAAATTTCGGGATAAAAAAACGTAAAATTAAAAAAGTTGGTATTTAAATCGCTTGGTTGCCTCGACTCACGTTTCGTCCTTATCTTTTATTCGCTTTCCTTGTCTACGTTCGGCAAACTACAAAGGCGGGCGCGAGGCTCGAAAACGTAGTCCCTGACTCTACAAGTGTCAGGTTTAGATTCCTTGCGGACTGACACTTGTGGAGACTTTAGTGTATATGTTAGCCGCTTATTTTGAAAGTGGTGCAAGTCTATTTTTTATTTCGACTATAGATTGTTTGCAGATGAAAAGATCGTCATAAGTTCTATCGATTGTTATCGCTAACTTCATTTTTTTGAAAAATGTACTTGCCTCGCTTTCAAAATAAACGGCTCATATGTATATACATACAATGAATAAGTACATTTGCTTTTCTAAACCGAAGCTCAACATACTGCCATTGGACTTTTAGTAATTTATTCGTTAATTTACCTAAGTAATTTCTTCGTACCAGCTGCTTCGCTTTCTTGCCTCGTTTCCGCCACTTTCTTCAATCTTTCCTGGAACGACTTCAATCGATGATTCACGAAATCTTTCAGCGGCGACATTTCCATTTTGTCAACTTTCCCCTCGATCTCCTTCTGCACTTCGTCCAGTGCTTCCTGCCAGATTGTCTCTTGCTTTCCTAATTTATTAATAGCGTCCTCGAGTCCTTGGGCGAGGTCGTCGCAAGCTGCGTCGAATTGATCGTAAGAGACCTAGGAGGGAGATTCGTCGTTATCTAGTATCGTTATTTTGATTAACTCTTTCGCTGCTGTTGACGTTTTTTGGCACACTTTCACCTCAGTTTACTCCTTTGCGCACTTTCACCTTAATTTATAAATGGAATTTTTAATTTCTTAAGAGATTTTAAAACGCCGAAGTGAAAGATTTCGCGGCCAAGATTGATCATCTATCGTCTGTCACGCGCGTTACGTATTAAAATCTGCCGCAGCGAAAGGGTTAAATATTGTTTGTGATTTCTATCTGGATACTTGAAGGTCTAACTTTTCTATTTATCGCTTGAGAATCGGCTTTGTCGGCCAGAGCGTCTTCGAGATCTTCTCTGTCCGCTTTGATGGTCTTCAGAATTTCTACTTGCTCCAACAGTGCCTGTTAGAGAAAAATAATGAATGTATGTACACTGAGAAAAATAGCAAAAGAAAAGATATTGAAAAATATGTTAAAAATAAATAAAAAATACTGGAAAATATGTGAAAGACAAGAAAAATATTTTAAAAAATTTTGGAAAATACTAACGTTAAGATGCAGCTCACGATTTTCGCGATCATCGATCAGACGATCCGCGGTTTGATTCAATTTCTCCATTTCATTCTGGATTTCCTGAACTTTCGACATTAAATCGTCGACGTCAGAGCTGCCTGAAACACCAGCCATTGGTGCGCTGTTTACTTTCTCGTACAAACACGTCACATCCTTCTCCAATTTTGAGATTCGTTCATTAAGGACGTGTAATTCATCTGTATCCATTATCTGCTCCTCTTTCACACTTTTTGTAGGCGATTTCGGACTTTCTACGCGTCCTTCCTTCTGCCTTTCTTTAATCCCATGTTCCTTAGTTTCCTTCTGTTTTTCTACTTGTTCCTCTGTGTCTTTCTTCTCCGTTACTTGCGCCGTTTCCGTATCTTTGTGCGGTTCTTCAGCTGTTTCCTTCGGTTTCTGCGAGTCCTCTCCTTTGTGCCCAGTGTCCTGTTTTGTCTCCGTTTTTTGAGCCGTTTCTGAGCGATTAGATTGGAAAATTTAACGAAGTGCTACTAAAAGTATAAATAGTAGCTACAGATATTTGAAGGATATTATTCGTCAAGGGTCGTAAGAAATTAAACAGTCGTCGAGTACATTTGAAATCTGAGCTGTCGAAGACTTCAGAATATCCCGAAAGTTTTAATAATCATAGAGTTTTAATAGTCACTGCGAACATTTTAGTATTACACCGATGGAAGGAAAGGATTAGGAGAGTATTAAGGACCTTGGATAATTTAGCGTTGATTAAGACGGAAGGTTTCGGTGATTTTGCAGGATATTGAGAAATCCACAAAGTTCAAATTTTCTCTTAATGGATAGAAAATATGGAAATTTGAAAAAAATTACAAAAATAAATGTTGATAATTTACTGAAACATTTCGAATCAGTGAAATTAATTAATTACAATATTTATCACTTATTACCAGTTACTGTCGAAGGTTTCAGTGATTTTACGTTGAGAAATCCATAAAATTCGAATTTTCTCTTAATGGATAGAAAATACAGAAATTTAAAAAAAATTACAAAAATAAATATTGATAATTTTCTGATACATTCGGAATCAGTCAGGGGAATTAATTAATTTAAAGTTAATTACGATATTTATCACTTATTACCAGTCTTCTTAATTTTTTCCTCTGTATTTTTCAACGTTTCCTTCATTTGTTTAACATCCTTCTGCAAAGTGGCCACGTTCTGATGCATTTCTTTCACGTCTATTCCGCCTAGAAGCTGGCTTAATGAAATTCGTGGTCCTGCCGACGGATGTTCGTCCTCCTTTGCATCGCTTGTATCACCGGCCGCGGCTTTTTCACCCTCACCCTCCTCGCCGTTAGCGATTACTTGCAAATTCTGAACAACCTGCTCCAAATCGTTAAGGGCGTTTTCTAAATTCACCAGTCTGTCGTCGAGGTCTGGCGATCCTCCTCCCGTTGCAATCGTTGTATCACCTTTGATCACATCTTGCACCATTTTCGTCAGCTAAAAGGAAAATCTCCTTGTCATTGTACTCTTACAGTTTAGTGAAAAATACCTGGTGAACTGGCAACAGTTGTGCAGTTTAAAATTGTTTTTTCGATAAAGCAACTTTTAGTAGAATTTAAATAATTTTTAGTTAGTAATTTATTAATACTTCTTACGTTTTATACAATATTCATAAAAGTATAAATAATTAATTTTCAGTTAGTAAATTATTAATATACTTTTTTTTTTAATATTATAT